TTCAAAATTTTTCCTATAAAATTTTTTTATTTTTAAAAAATTTTATTCCCATTTCAAATCGGGGGTTTTTAATGATTTGAACAAAAAAAGAAAATTTCATTATAAGGATTTTTTAAAAATTTTAGCTTTTTTGGCCAAATTTTCTTTGAGAAAAGGATTAAAAATTTTTTCCTTTTTAATTTTTTCTAGTAAAATTTTACCCCATTGTTTGGCCAAAAACCCCTTTTCCCCGGGGGTCAATGATTGGAAAACCCAAATTTTGAAATTTTTTTACATATAAAAGAGAATGCCTTTTCCCAACACAAAAGTTTCCAAAAAACTTTTCTTTTGGGAAAAATGGGTTTTTGAAGAAGAAAGATTTTTCAAAAAGAAATTTTTTTTTTATATTTCTTTATGTGAAAAACTGGTATTCCCCTTTCCCCCCCTTCCCCCCCCTAGTGCAATTTAAAACCCTAACAGCATTTTTCATGCTCTTCAAAATATTAAAAGGATAAACTCCCACAACTAAATTGTCAAAGGCCTTTTTCTGTATAATTAATAAAATGAAATAAATCTTCATCTTTATTTTTACAAGCTAGAATAAAGAAGATTGATCTGATTGAAAATGTCAGTAGATTATGTAGTATAATTTTGCTTCATTTTAAACATAATTTGTTGACTCACATGTCAGGTTCACAAGTTATTCAAGTTAAAATCACTAATCATTTTAAGAATCATTTTTAGGGTGTTTACTTGAAAAATGTTTATAATTTGGAGGAATATATTTTCAAGGACATGTATACCAATATACCATCATAATATTGTGTGTTGCTCATTATTATCAATGAAATGCAGTTCCCTGATTATCAAAATAGAATGGGTAGTTTTTCACAAGTAGATTGAGGAACAAAAAAATCCACCATATACATGTATATTGGATTTGTTGATAACTTCAGTCTTGTTATAATGGTCTATATATAATACAGTAAAATTTAGATAAAAATGGCACTGATAAATATATTTTTGTCATTTTAAAAATTTTATATTTAACAAAAGAGGTGTTTTTTGGCCATCAGCCATTAAGCTTAGGACTGCTATATAACGACTTGGGAGTCTGCTGCAGGAGGCTGAATCAAGTCGATAACCTGAGTTTCCAGATGTAAGTCAACATTTGTCTTTAGCATATAATAAGAGATTTATACCACTTTCACTGCAATCTGTAGCAAATTTTGTAGTATATTAACCTTAAATAAAACAGACATTCAAGTTGCTGCATTAAAGTGGGTTAAATATTAAGAATGGCCAAGAAATGTATTTGGGCTGACAAAATGTCCCTAGGAGAATTTTTTAAATTTTGATCAGGTCTCTTGATGTGAAGAGAAACACAGTGGGTAATCGTCACCCTCTTCTTTGTCAAACTTACGTGTCCTTAAGCTTCATAGAGACATCAAAGAACAACTATCAAAAGGCTCTGGAATATAACCAGTTAGCAGCAGAGATCTACAGGGTTTGTAAAATTTTACAGGGTATGTAGAAATTCACAAGGTTTGTCAAAATTTACAGGGTATATAGAAATTTACAAGGTTTGTCGAAATTTACAAGGTTTGTCAAAATTTACAAGGTATGTAGAAAAGAAATTTACAAGATAAGCAGAAACTCATAGGGTACCAGTACCAGTAAACAAAATTTTCAGGTAATAGTGGATAACAGATAAAAAAAATATTTTTTGACCATGAACTGTAAAATAAAGATAACTCTTATAATCTATGACAAAATAGTTTCAATTTACCCAAAAATCTAAAATGAATTCCATTTAATTCTTTTATTGTTGTCCACTTTCCAGTACTTAATTTTATGGTAAGGAATAAATTCATAATCAAGGGAAAATGCATTTAGAGTGTGCTATGAATATTGGCAACATTTGAAAACCCCCAACAGTAAACACCATTACTATTTATGTTGCTATCTCAATTATTAAAACTATAGCCATTAATGTTGTCTGTTAAGAATTCCATTCTTTTTCTCATGTATGAGAAGCTTAGCCTCAGTGGTTTTGTGGTTCTGTTGCTAACATTGTTATTAATAGCAGCATCTTATATTATTCCATCTCATAATTATTAAAACTTTTCTCCTTTTTTCCCAAATGCCATTTGTCATTTTTAGTTAAATTTTTTAAAACTTTCAGAATTGAAATCAATTTAAAAAGGTACATGATGACAAAATATTATTTTAAGGGCCCAAAAAAAAAAAAAAATCAATAGTTTATCAGGCCCCGCCCAATAGTTCAAAAACAGCCGCATTGATTAAATTTATTACATATTAAAAAGGGAAATAACTAAATTTTTTATTTTTCCAATTTGAGAAAGAAAATATTTTTCCCTTTTTCAAAATGCTAAGAAAGATGTTTTTATTAAAAAAACAGTATCTCTCTTTTAAATTACAATATTTTATGAGTTAACTTATAAATAAAAGTTGAATACATATTATAACTACATGTAATTTCAAGAAACAAAACTTAAGAATTAGTAGACATTATCATTTTATTGCACAACTGACTTTAAAAAAGGTGTAAAACCTGCTTCTAAAAAAAAATAAATAAATAAAATAAAATAAAAAAATAAAAAAAGCCTGCCTGCTGCATTGAATTTTGAATTTTTTGGCCTGAGAAACTATTGATTATTTTTTTTGGCCTAATATTGCTTGCATACAAAGTTTGATATGCAAAAATAAATATCTCTTAAGACAGAATACTTTTTTTGTTCATGTAAATCTAATTCATTTTTAAGTATTGAGCAATTTTTTTTTCACTTGGCCATGAACATATGCCTGTTAAAAATTCATTTCCCTTTAAAAATTCACTAGCCTTAGGTGTTGTGCATTGAGATTTGTCAGCCCTAGGTAAACAGAATTTAACAGGGCAAGGAGAATTTTAGAGGTAATAAAACAGAAATTGACAGGGTAGCAGAATTTTCCAAATTTATTTAGCAGAAATTTACAGGATATTCAAAATTTTGGACAGAGCCAATTTAATGAACAACAATAAATACATTTAGCATTTTCTCAGCCAAAATTTTTAAAAAAAAAATAAACACTTTTTAAATTTTTTAATTAAATATACTTCATTTAAAATAAAGTTATAACTTCAATTAATCCATCATAGTATCATTTTTCTGAATTCTAAAGTCCTTAATGTCATTTGTTGTATTCTCTTTTCATACTTAACAGGAAAGTGGGACTCCAGAAAATGATGTTAATTATCAAGATGCAGAAAAACATCATTTTGAATTTGATTAATTAAAACAGGATGGCAGATGTTGTAGAATTATACATACCATTTTGTGAGTTAGGTTTTTGACCATTTTAAAAACATTATCTTGAAAAAAAAAATAGCGTAAAAAAAGTAAAAAGTTTGCAATGTCCACCTGTGTTTTTAATTAATATTATCAAAATTTTTCTTTAATTTGCCATGAAATTTTGATGCTTTTGCAGAATATTAATTGTTTACAAACCATAGCAGAATGCCTCTTAGTAATTTAAAAAACCCAACAAAACAGATAAGAAGTACCTAATTTTCGGGTTTTTTTTCATTTGATTTTTGGAGAAAGAAATAACAGTGGCAATGTACACCTTATAAATGGAACATTGCCATTGGTCATGCGACTTTGTAAAATACCTAATACAGACCAAACAAGATGAAGTTTCTCAAAAATTTTTCTCAAAACATTAATCAAAACCAAAAATTTGTCATTCCAATATATTATGTTATCTTGATGAAGTTAACAAGAGACTTAATAATCCTGGTGAAAGGGCACCAAAACAGATTGGAGTGAAGGGGCCATGTCTGTTGATGAGGCACTTCAGAAGTTTGTATTTTAGTTTTAAAATTTGTCTTACACAACCTATTTGTTAAATTTTTAAATTTTTTAGGAAGTATGTAAAATATTTTAAAAAATGATACTTAAAATACATGATATCTTCAAATTTTTAAGTCCTATAACTAGTTGCTTAATACATTTTAGATGGCCTGCAGACAGACGTCTACTGGAATATAAATTTAGAAATCTGATTATCGGGGAATTCAGGGACACTTATTGATTCATTCAATGAGGTTGTCCACGGATCTATAACTTTGGTAAATGTTGAACTTTGTCCCGGAGATGTTTGAAAATCAAAAAATTTAACAATAAGATGTTTCTTAATTCAACATAATGCTCTGAATCATCTGCCAGAGAATGAGTGGAATGCTTTCTGGTTAGTTCCCAAAAAAAGGAATTAAATTATTATTTGTGGGGTGGAGAAAAACAATTTCTTTTGGTTATGCTCCACCTGAATATGACTGGGGGAAAATTTAAATTTGTCATGTCTGTCTTCTGACCATCCATCTGTCCTTCAGTTGCATTTTCCATTTAACTTATTTAAAGTTCAATTTCAAAGAAATATTCTAATTTTTTTTTATCAAAGTTATATACTGATAATATTGATAAGAGCTCTTCAAAACATAACATTTTTTTTTCCTGATTTCTTGTGGGATGACCTCACTTTTCCCAAATTACTGTTTAGTCAGTGGGAAAGAACCATTCAAGAAGTGTAACAAAAACAAGCTGACACATACTGAAATAAGGTACTCAACTGCATCAGCCTTTTTTTTTTACCTTTCCTTTGACTTTTTTTTTCTCAAATTACTCAGTTTTAAAGAAACAATTCAAGATATGTTATCAAACTTAATATACTTTTAGTACTAGTGAAAGTATTTACTGCATCAAAACTTTAACCTTGAACTTTTTTGACCTTGACCTCACTTTCTTTAATTTGCATACTGCTTATTTAGAGAGGTACATAATTGTGGGGTATTTTAAAGCTATTGTTTTGTATGTAAGTCTTTATTTTTTTTTAAAGTCTTAACATTTTCCCGATATTTTGCTTGTTTAAATTTTATTTAAATTTATCTCTTTTTCTTTGTAGAACTGTGTGAGAAAAAACACTTTGGGGAAAGTTATGAAAGAGAGAAACAGCCAAGAAAATTTAAGATACTACAAACAGTGGGCAGAACATGACAAGGATAACCCACAACCATATTTAAAAGTGGGTATTATTAAGCCCCGCCATGAAAATGGCTGGGGTATATGATATTGTGTTGTCATGTCTTCTGACTTAGAAATATGAATGATTGATACATTTATGTGTTTTATGTTTGAAAAATTTAAACCATGGAGACACCACTATACACCAGTAAAGAGTTAAAAGGTTGACCTTTGCTCGGCAATCAGGGCCATTGAGCAGTTTTTTCTTATTTTTTTTAATCAATTTTGGACTTTCACAGCCTTGCCTTGAACCCACTATCTTCTGATCTCTACCTTTTTTATGACATTCACTCCCATATTTATTGATTTTTAACTCCATTTAACCAAAAGCTGAAATACATGTAACGTATTCTGACAAAATTGTATGTTGCCTGTCATTATTTGAAAAATTTTCATTGTTCCATCGTCTCTGGAACCACAAATCCTATTTTTAGCAAACTTTACACAGAATATCTGACAATATAAAGAAAGGGGGGGGGGTTGAAGCATGATGGAGTTGATGGAGTTGGCCCTGGTTGGGTCACATCTTGGATCAGAGTTTAACATTTGAATACAGGATATGTATAAGGGAAAGGTTCCTTAAAAAAGCTTCTTCTAAAAAAAATAAAAAAACAAACAAACAAAAAACAAACAAACAAAAAAACAAAAAAATCAAGATGAGTCACATTTGAAATAAGGAAGCCTCATCAGATAGTATAGTTTATTTATTTCCTCCAGTGTGCACCTGTGGGGACAAGGCAGGACCACAATAGAAAATAAAACATTTTTATATAAATTTATGGGGAAAGAACTGAGAGAGTCTTCTCAAGATCAACAAAGCCATGATTAATAATACATGTGTATTAATATGAAAGCATCTTCAATTATTAAGATTCAAGAATGATCAAATTATGGGGTAGAATGAGTCCTCAATAGGAGATAAAAGTTCTTTAGTGATACTCATAGTACTGATACATATTGGTACGATCAATAAATGTTTGTCATAGTTTTTTGTACCTCTACCTTCCCCTTCCCTTAGATCTTCAATTTCATTTCCCTCTTCATGTATATCTTATTAAAAAAAATATCCGGAAATTTTTCATAAAACCTAATGACATACACCTATAAATCTCTGCAAGAACATTTCAATTATAGATTTTAAAATAGACATTTACATGTATAAGGCATATTTAAGAGGTTGTGTGTGAGTTTGTTGTAACTTCATCAAGAGGTTCTTGAGATACTTGTTTGCCATTATCCGATGTGTATTCCAAGTAATTTTGTATTTTTTAAAACTTAATAGAAATTCTCTTGAGAATGTCATGGATTAAACATCTTCAATAACTATACAAGTTTTTGGAGGACTGTATAATTTTTGGAACTTGTGTCCAATCCCTTTGACATATTGTCAATAAAATATGTTCTTCATTATTTAACAATGTCAAAAAGTAACAAAAAATACCAGTTTTCCAAATTCCATTTTTTTCTTTGTGCATGAAGGTTTGTTACTGTCTTGCAATGGTTGGTGACATTGAAGAGGCCAAGAAATATTGCACAAAAGCAAAAGAAAAAGCTAATATGGATGGTAATAATGATCAAACAGATATACAACAAAAGGTAAATATGAACAATTCATTATCGTGAATTGATTAAAAAGAATATCATTAACATAATTATATTACATTGTAAGTTAGAGTGTTGTTAATGTTAAAACACATTTGGGCAGTAAAAGGAATTGATTAATATCTTTTCTTGATTAGTTAGGGTGTGGGCTTGGGGCATATAAATAGCAGGGAATATGTTTTATTCATGTTTTACTTCCTGGTTCTAAATTTTACGTTAATTTTTTTCTTTTTGTAGATTTTAACTATGTGGAATCTTCTAGAGGAAGCAGAAAAAGAAATGAATAAGGAGTCGTAAAGACAGTTGGATATTGTCAGATTAAATGTAGCATTCGATAGATTTTTACCTAATTAAAGCAGTGCTAGCATGTTACATCTACACAAGATGCTTTAAGATGAAAATTTAGAAAATATATATACTGTATACAATCATTCTACTAGAATGTGCAATAGATTAAAAGAATAGTACCTCTGACATAGAAAGTGTCAAATTATGCAATATTGCAAGTTTTATCTTACAATCTTGTATTAGGGTAGTATATACCAAAATCCTATGAGAATTGTCAAAATATTTTTCTCAATGAGTAAATTTTCTCTCTTCAGTGAAATATGTAATGAGAAAGGTAATTGTTACCTATCATAAAAATACAGATAATTTTTCTGTGCACAGTCTCTTTGACTTAGTAATGTTTAAGCAATTACATGTTTTTGCAGTCCAGTAGCATAACTGAGTCTATATTGCTAGTAACAAAAGTCATAATTTATTAGAAAGTTAAACATTTTTTTGGTTTATGTTAAAAATATTTGACATTGATGTTTACTCTGTATTTTTATTCAGGTTTCATTTTTGATATTTCTTATTTATTTTTCAACACTTGTATACCCTATACATTTTTATATTTACATGCCTGTTATTGGACATGTATTTACAACAAAATCTTATGCTGTGGTTTTTTGCATTTTATAAATTGAGATATCATATATTTGACAAAGCTTATCTGTGATAATAATTAACAGCTTTTTATTCCTTTACAGAATACTTTTCTTTTTTATTCAAACCTGAACAAGGCAGAATTATTTTCAAAATCTTCTGAGAAGAAAAAAAGAACACTTGCTGTGGCTCAACTTGACATTTTGATATATTAAAGACGTATTATCTATTAACAATAGTAACTTTCATTCATATGTTGACTCGATATACGAGGGCTGTTCAATAAATAATGTCCTCGGTGCTTGGAAAGAAACGAAAAACGCTTTTCAATCATTTAGTTTTACTGATTTAACTTAAATGTTCTATTTTAATTAAAACACGTGTCTGTAATATTTTTATCCAATTTCTAATTGTTTTTATAACACATTTTTGACTATGACTCTTCGTATACTGAAATATGGCAGATCCTATGATTTCCTGGACTTGGTTCTCCTTTCTCAAAGGTGTTTTTGTCAAGATTGGAAAATGAAACAAGTAAAAGGGTGAAAGATCTGGCGAATATAATTGGTGTGACAAAACATTAAGTTTCTATTCATCCCCCAAACTCCTGTACTCTTAGGACGCCTGGTTTTGGACGCTGTCATGAAGAATTTTTATGTAGTGGATTCCTGAATCTGGTTCCTTCCTCTCAAAAAGCTTTCGATTTTTTGCAAAAATTTTGCATTCTAGACTCCTCCAGAAATTGAACTGCTTCCCTGAATAAGAATTTGAACAACAAAACCCCTTGTATTAAAGAAAATGGCATATAAAACTGGCTTTGTGATCTTGCAGTTCTTTGCTCTTCTCAGACCTTTGCTTTTTTTACCAAATGCATCTTATTTAAAATTTGTTTTGGGAGTTTAAAGCAATGGATTCAAGTTTCATTATCTGTATGAATTTCAGACAAATATGGAAAACTACAATTTCTGACTTTTAAAAATAATTGTTTAGCTATTGTGTCACGCTGTCATGCCATTTGAATACTGTGCTAGTTCTGTCAAATGTTCCTTTAAAACGGTGTGAACTACCCCCAAAATGATGCCTATTAAAGTTGCTATGTATCTGAAAATCAATCAAACATCATCGGTGATAATTTTTTGAATTTTGGCAAACAGTACATTAGTTGTTGTAATTCCTAGTCGCAAAGGACGAAACCCATTTTTGATGCCCATTTTATCATTTCTGCTCATTGAAATCCACGTGCTAATGTGTCTACTAAACAGATATTGGTTTCTGTAAATTCCCATATTTCAGTGAATATTTGCTCACTCATCCATGGCACCTGATTCCACCTCGGTTGTGTTTGGAGGTCTTTGCTTGCTGTGATCCTGATCCCTGTGTTTGTCTAAATAATTGAACCTTTAGCTTGAATGCTCTTCGTTATCACCATATTTATAAAAAAAAAACCCGAGTTTATTTGTGTATTTCTTCTAGCATTCTTTGATTTATAATAAAACGTGTGGTCGTCTTGTTGCTTTATCATGACAAAATAACGAAGTTGGCTTTTCCATGATCTTCTTCAGAGGTATGTTCCATAAAAACCATATCAGTGGCAAATGCACTTAGTAAGACAACATCAGGTTTGGTTTAAGATTTTTCAATTTGGTCGTTGCCTCGTCAATTGTGTATGCCTAAGTCATGTTACTTACATCTACATATTGTGAATGTATTTCTGATTTTATTACTTTGTTGTTTTTCAGTAATAATGCTATAGACGTTGAGTTTCTGGTGTGTATTTCTTCACTTTTAGGCTATATGGGTTTTCTTGAGGGAAGCATTAATGTCATATGAGACTTTCTGGCTGAAGCAACCCAAATTAATCGATAGTCGGAGTTTTAGCTCAAACTAATCGTTTATTGAAATTTAATCCCAAAGTACTTGATAAGTGGGATTTTAGCCCAAACTAATTAGTCAGCTGGAATTGAAGCCCAAAAACCACTCTATAGCTGGAATTAACGCCAAAACTACTCGATAACAAGAATTCAAGACCAAACTACTCCATAGCAGGGATTTCAGAGAGAAACTTTCTTGGAATTGACAGCGATAGTTATCTGCTGACAGATTTTAATATCGGCTTCTCTGATGACTCCAGTATTTTTTTTCACAATCCCAGTGATTGATTCGACAGTTGTCTTCAATTTCTTTTCAGAATGATTGATTTATTGTATATTGTTTTACGTCCCTCTCGAGAACTTTTCACTCATACGGAGACGCCACCACTTGCCTGTGGCGAACTGCAATTTTTTCCTATACTCTTCACTCAGGGCCATTGAGCATGGAGGGATCTTTTTCGTACCAGCACCTACTGTGACACGGGACCTCTGTTTATCTGAAGGACTCCACAAAGGTCCCACAGTGGAATTCGAACCTGAGATGTCTGTTCAGAATGAAAATATTTCACCAATCTATTTTTATCGAGATTTAAAGAAATATTTGATTTCTGTTGGTTTTAAGCAGACTACTTTGCGTTTGTATGAATTACACAGGCATTTTTATCGACTGTATGTAATGTTCACATATTTTAAAATTATCATTATCAATACTCGTTCTACGGTTTTTTTTTTGTCTCATTGAAACATTTTAAGTTTACCTCCTGAATTGTGAGCGCTTGTTTTAGTTAAGGCTAGTCCTAAAAAATAAGAGTTATACTGACATTTTTACGATACATTTCTTTAAATGGTAATGTAATTAAGAAATTTTAAGTGTTAAATTTGAAAATAGACTTTTGAATATTTCTACAGAATTTTTTGCAGTAAGAAAATTTCGTACTTTTCTTAAACTTTTCATATGCATAATGTAACGCATTGAGATGTAAAGATGCGATTTCACACTTTTCACCAATTGAATCTTTTTTGACTTTGGCCTGCGTAAATAAACAAATTTATACTTCTTCTAAATATATTTGAATTTTGGAAGTTTTTTTGTTATTTATCCTTAAATAAGAAGACATTGCATTAAAATGTTTTTCATATCCTGTTTCTTTCCATGTTTAAAACTTATTAACCTTTGAACTGTCTGCAAACTGACATGGAAAATTATGTCTTGTTTACACTAAATACATCAGTCCCTGACTTTTGACTGACTGTCTCAGTTCTCTATGTATGTCTGAAGGTAACATATTACATATTGAAATGAACATCCCTATGGTCGACAAAATGGTAAAAATATTAAATCTAACAAGGAAAACATCTAAATCATTCCATCAACATGTACTCAATAATTTTTGAAAAAAGTTAACAAATGCATGTGATATTTCATTAACATAATTTTTTTTTCAAGCATGCAAATTTTAAACATCATGGATTTTGTTTAAACAGCAAGTTGCGCTTTCTGCAGCTGTTTTATTAATTTCCAGTACATTTGTAATTATACACATCGACCTATTTTGCACTGAGTGTTTCACATGGTGATTCATGAAGAAAAAGGCCCATGGCTGGACAACTTTTCATGTATTTGTCACCGGGGAAGTGATTAACAATTTACTTTTGAGTCGGTCTTATATATATGTAGAAGTAATAATGCAGTTGTGCAATGTTCGACTATGGGGATAACGAACAGTATATTGAGTTGTTAAAGAATGATCATCAGGGAAAGCTGTATCATACTTTGGCATCAATTACGGTAATTTTTGAAACTTTATTTTTACTTAATTTACTTAATTATTTATAGGTTATCTGAGTTTACTGAATTTACCCAAGTGACCTATTGCTATCCGTTTTCGTTCGTAGTCCGTTGTGCGATAACATTTAAATATTTTCAGTTTCTTTTCACAATCCACTGAACCAGTTTCTACCAATTTTGGTATAAAGCATCTATGAAAGCAAGGGAGTAAAATTTTTAAATCCATCGACCCTCACCCCCTGGTGCCTGAGGCTGGGACTAAACCATCAAAATATATGCAATCTTTAAAATTATTCTACGTTGCTCCTGTATGGACAACAAGCAGACAAGCTGTGGGCATAATTTTTGCTATAAGTATTAAACCCTCTACCAAAATTATGAAATTCATTGCCCCTGGGCCAGGAGTTTTAGTGCTAGGGTGGGTCTCTGTAGAATATACTTGTCAGTGAAAATACATTATTTCTTTTAAAATATTCTTCCCTGCTCTGGGTAATAAGCAAACAAACTAAATATGTAGATATGATGAACCTGAATGCCTCTTCTAAAATGTAAGTTGAAAGTAGGGCGGGACTATATATGTCCAAAATTATGGCGAAAAAGGGTACTTTTTCTAAGATTGTGAATTTTATGGCCCCTGGGTGTATACTGAAAATGAATAAATGCTTTGAAATCTGCCCCTTTTTAAGTGTATTCATCAAACATTCATGATGAGCAAGGGTGTCTTTTCCAAAATTGTGAAATGTATGGCCACAGGGTCAGGGGGTTCCTGTAGAAGGGGATGGGGACTACTGATTATATAGTTGAAATGCATTCTTTGTTCCTCTTCTCTGCCTTTGGGTTATGAGTAATCATTTGAGTACTAGTATGCTCAATGTAAAGTTATGATGAGCAGTGACCTCTTTCAAAATTGTGACATGAACCGAAGTCAGTTGTTAGAAAGTTGTAACATGATACTTAGGTAGCCTTTAAGGCCCGTGAGCCTCTTATTTAACTTTTTAAGGTTAATGGAATCTTTTCTGGTTTTTAACAAAAAGGAAAAAAACTCTACAATACGGAACTTCTAAAATAAAAATTTGTAAAAGATACTCTTGTTAATAAAAAAACACAGGATTGTTATGTCGTGGAAATATATTATATATTTGATATCAAGATAAAGATAAAAAAAATATTCATTTTTTAACAGGATTTTTATTATTTGAACATTACATTTTATTCAAGGGCAGCTGACTGAAAATTGACTGATAATGCAGTGCTTTCTGTGGATATTTTTGGCACTGACAGTGGAAATTTGCCAGTGTAAATTGCCACTGGTAGTTACTTGGGTGAATGACACAGGATCGAGTCATTCCCCTCGAAACATGCATCACAGAAGTAGCTTGGCAGGTAATGCTCATCAAATTAATCGACATCAAACAGTCCCCATCAACTGGAGCTCTCGAAGAAGTCTCTCTCGAGCATCCGAAAATGTCCCCGTCCTTTTTAATAGGCAAAACATTTATCCGTCAAATCGGAACAGAGTGAAAAGTTCGACAGGTCTGAACGTTAACAGTGACAGATCGTTTTCTGGACAATGGGGATCTCAGAAAAAAATTGTACACAGAGAAGACACGAGAGAGAAACCATATTCTAGCAGCACCGCATCGAGACTTTCTGAAGCACAAAAAAGACAAATTGTGGATTTGCATAACAAGATACGAAGAAGTGTTACACCTAGCGCAGCAAACATGAAGAAAATGGTAATTAAGAACTTTTTATTAGTATATAACCATCTCTAGATATATTAAAACAGTTCATTAGTACAACATATATACATGTATAGTAAAAATTAAACATTTAGAGCTGGGACACAACTTTGGAACAAATGGCCCAAAAGTATGCAGAAACGTGTTCTGGTACACACAATGCAGACCGACATAAACGGAAATGGGCAAACTTCCGGAATATCGGCGAGAATATACATCACACTTGGGATTGGGTAGCAGAATATGAAGATGGTGTCCTTGTCCAAAAGACACGTAATACTTTAAGATCTATTTTCTTAGAACATGCAATTTACTTCCTAATCAATTACAACATCGGTCTACCTAACAGTAGATTCAAAATGTGTTTATTGCTATATACAATAACAATAATAACGGACCATTTACAGTTACTATTATAATAACCGACTATTTACAGTTATTATAATTATCGACCATTTACAGTAACTATAATAACCGACCATTTACAGTAACTATAATAACTGACCATTTACAGTAACTATAATAACCGACCATTTACAGTAACTATAATAACCGACTATATATTTATGATAACTATATCATGTATAATAACTGACTAATTACAGTACCTTTGAACATTTCCAAAGTCCTGCACAGATGGTGGGGAGAGAAAAATAAATATGATTATCGGAATCCTTACGGTTGTCCAAAGGGCTGTGGTCACTATATTCAGGTAAATAACAAACCGAAATGTACGTTTGTTTGATTGATCGACCATGGGTTTACAGAATAGAATTTTCATACGTGTTACTTTTTTTTTTACTTTTAACTTGTTGTAGATGGTAAAGGATGTTTCATTTGCAATCGGTTGTGGAACATCCCTTTGTGAAACGGTAAAAGGACGTAATTATAAAAATGCACACATTTTCGTTTGCAACTATGGAGACGGGTAAGTCTACATTTTTGTATTTAGACAGGTTTTATTGGTATGCAATACACAGTATTTGACAGTCATATTACTCCAATCACATTGATATCTGTTACATCCCTGAATAGCTGCAGATCTGTAGCGGCATGGTCTTATTTATTTGTCTTTGACCAAGACCAAAAACAAATATATAAAACCATAACGCTACAGATCTGCAGCTAATCCCTGAATTGTTCTTAATATATTGAAAAATATTTTTAAAATTATTAATTTATCCTAAGTAAATTTTAATGCAGAAAAAAAAGAGAAAATAATTGCTGACAATATAGTTGCTTTGCATGTATTTTCAATGTCTGTTTCAGCTATAACGAATCCATGGAGCCATACTACGAAGGAACACCCTGTTCAGACTGTCCCACGGGGCACCCAGTGTGTAACCAGGGCCTCTGTGATGTCCCCTGAACATTCATAAGGCAATGTGATATAATCGATTCTGTTATTTTCATTTACTGTTAACAAAAGAGGGCAGAAATAAAACGGGTAAGAAATAACCCAATATACAGAACTTAATATGCTGAAACAAAACTACGGTTCATGCCTAAAAGGTTAAAATTTAAAAACTAGGAAAAAAATTAATATAATGGCAAAGTCCATGTTTTGCTTTGGGAGACCTGAAATAAGTGTCAAATCAAAAGATAAAGTAAGAGGTGCACAATGTCATGATGTAATAAAGAATATGTAAAGGTATCATTAAGTTTTATTCAGTGATAAAGGAGGAGTTGTGGAGAAGAGATTACACTTCAGTATTATAGAAAAAATGACCGTGTCAATGTTTTGCTATGGGAAACCCCTAATATGTTTCCGATGAAAAAGTAGAATAGGAGGTCACAATGACATTATGTAACAAAGAATCTGTGAAAGTCTTATTGAATTTCATCCAGGGGTATAAAAGGATTTGCGAAAGATTGGTAACCCAAAGCGCAACGGACGGACATCCCGATCACTATATACCCTCCCGCTTGTATCATACAAAACTCATAATACTCCTGAAGGTGACCCTCTCTGTGAATTTTCCTTCTACTTACCTCATGAAAACAACTTAAAAAGTCGAAAGAAAAACTTTTCACTTATTTCAAGAAATACTGAAACTGAACAGCTATTCATCGATTATAAGAATGACAAAGAGTGACATATAATACTTTCTTTTTTTAACACCTTTTCTCTACTATTCATTTTTCAAACAGATGAATTGAAAGAAATATAGAAATCTTTAAACAGATGGAGTACACTAACAGTTCCTTTTTCGGGGAAGTATTACTATAAAACGGGATTACATGTATTCCTTTTTTCATTAATAAAAAAAAACATTACTGTATACGGAAATTTACGTCATATTTTTAAAATAATGCCCCAAATCAGTTTATTAAATAAAAAGTGCATGAAATAGGATGTGATGTGTTTAAACATTATAACACTGGAACAGAGCTTTTATGTTCAATTTTACATATTTCAGTCATTAGAATATTAATATCCAACATAACAGAGGTACATTAAGTGAATGAAAACCCCAAAACGGAACTGTCTTTCAGTTTCACAATTAATATCACCTAGAAGAACAAAAACCAACAAGAGACATTTTCTCATAATTTATGTAATTTTTTTTTAATGTTTAACAATATAAAACTACATGTTTGTTCACAGAACAAATTCTTATTCTACAAAATCATACATTTTATTAATTGAATCACAGAATAAAAAAACAAATAACACATTCGTCGAGTTCATTGAATTCAAATTTAAAATAAAAAGCATTATACGCACTGTTGAAAAATAAAAAAAAAAGGACAAAAAGCGAAAAATGCTCTCTACTCTCTGAGTGCATTAAAGATATTCAATGAACACCCTTTACCTTAGTCAGCAATGCCTCCTACATTATTCTACACCTTTAACAATTTAATAAGTACACATGATCATTTTTCTTGCGGAAGGTCATATCTTTTGTTCATTGTTTCACAATTATATGTGATCTGGCATGTAAATTACATATCAACCATATACAGTTAAAAAATGAATATTATGCTACAAAAATGTTAAATTATGTGTGAAGAAAAAGGAATGATATATTAAAAATAAAACTATAATAAATAACAAACATATTTATAATGGCAAGGATTAACATATAATATAACACACTTATTGGATGATGTAACCATTCTTCATAGACCCAGCATGACTATTAACATAATGTGAAGTCTGGATACTGGTTGTGAAGATATGTTTACTTTATGAAAGACACAGAACAAAAATGTCATGTATAAAAATAAATGTGGAGGATTTAAGTAACTTACAAAAATAATTCTGTCAGCAATCGGATTTCAAAGTTAGAAAGCTGACTTTATTGATAAATGAATTTATTATTCCTCTATTTTAAGTACATGTAAAAACCATCAACATTTGAAGAATATGTATGTAGATTAAAATAAAGCATTTAAAGCATATCTGTTAAATTACATTTAGTAAAATAAACTAATTCCATCTTTTAGATATCTTCCAGTCACATTTCGTATGAATCAAATATTGTATATCAACGGGCTTAACTTGTTCAGATTATGACCAGAGCTGGTTATAATCAATTTATAATAAATAGAAATTTTATTCAACGTATATTGAAACATAAGCAAACCACCTAAAATTAAAGTTAAGCAAAAATTTAATACTCTTCACTCAATAACAACGGTCAAATTTTGCATAATGTACTAATTAGAATTTTGGCAAATGACCGTTGAATTAATAGAGTCTTGGTTTGTTACAACATATATGCACCAAATACTGACGTATATACGTACAATGTTTTTGAACACGTTTTGGTTATTAACAAAATCTATAACGATGTGGAATTGTATGACACAATATTTGTTGCGTTAAATAATGTAATGTTGATCCCATCAAAGCCTGTTCCATTCATTTTTGCCGTCAAAAACCCTGCTGGAAACTCGTTTAAATTGTAAAATGGTGTAACCCACAGCACCATTGCCAGAATCAAAACCATCACTGTGACTAAATTTATGAATGAACCGGCAATCACCTATATAAAGATATAAATAAAGGTTCTAATAAGGTTAAAAACTTACATGTACCTGAAGATACGTTTTAATTAGAGGTAATGTGAGCATTAAGGGACTCCTACCCTCAGTCAGGAAGAACAACTCTTTAATTTATAATTTAATTCAAAAAGTCTTGAACTTCTTAGAAAGGTCTAATTAAAAGTAGAAATTTTTATCCCGTAAAAGATACCAATGTTTATTAACATGATATGAAATTAGAAGTGATTTATGAAGCTTTGCAAAGAACCTTGAAGCACATTGAGAGGCATATAATGAAAATTGTTGCATGAAAAGATTTAATTTTCAAGCTTCATTTAAAGACTTTTTGAATTAAATTATAAATTAAAGAGTTGTCTTTCCTGGCTGAGGGTCGGAGTCCCTTAAGCTCACTAAGTGGTCCCCCCGCCTCATTATACCCCCCGCTTGAAAAGTGGGAGGGTATATAGTAATCGGTATTTCCGTCCGTCCGTCTGTACGCCCGTCCGTCTGTTACGCTTTGGGGTACCCATCTCTTATCCGCAACTCCTATCAAACCACTGAAGGAAATTTGATGAAACTTTCACAGAATCTTTATTACATATTGTCATTGTGCACCTCCTATTTTACTTTTTGATCTGACATATATTTTGGATTTTCCAGAGGAAAACATGGATACTGTCATTATAATCATATGGGAGGCGGGGGGTATTATTTAGTGAGCTCATTGCTCACAGTTCCTCTAGTTTATAATTATAATGGCAAAGTCCATGCTTTGCTCTGGGAGACCCGAAATGATTCAGATCAAAAAGTAAAAATAAAAGATGCACAATTGTTTAACTAGTATGTTATGAAGTATCAGTGAAAATTTCTTAAAATTTTATTCAGAATTATAGGAGGAGTTGCAGATAAGAGATAGTTACCCATCAATATTATAAAAAGAATTGCTGTGTCCATGTTTGTTATGAAAACCCTGAATATTTGTCCAAATAAACTTTATAACAGAAGGCACACAAAGGCACTATGTTGCAGTGATTCTTTGAAAGTCTCATTAAATTTCATCCAGTGTTATAAGAGGAGTTGCGGATAAGAGATAGGTACCTCAAAGTGTTACAGAGGGATGAAGTACAGCTAGACGACTTACAAACGGACGGACATCGCGATCAATGTACATGTTTAACCTGCCCCTTTTTTAAGCAGGGGTATAAATATGAAACTTACACATTAGATATTTACGAAAGAATTATTTCCAATCATTACTTTACCATACATACATGTATGATTAACATACATACCATATCTTTGACCTTCAGGTAACCTGTAGAAAATACAATGGCGTTAGGAGGGGTCCCCACAGGTAACATAAATGCAAAAGAGCATGAGATCGCTACAGGAATCATGAAGGAAAGTGGATGCACTCCCAATTCAATTGCCTAAAATTTAAAAATATAAGATTAAGACATGGCGAATCAATACATTTTTAGATTAAAATAAAGTAAAATGACGTTCTAAGAATACTTAAAATATTTCAAATATAGATTTGTGTCTCATTTTTAAAAATCCTTTTTATACCTTATAATACATGTAGCTCACTACCTTCTATCAAAGTAATTTTATTGATGATTACTGGTTTCCGATGATTGATTCATAAAAAAGAACGTTAATTTCCCACGCCCCATATTATTAGTTTACAAAAAAATACCAAAGAAAAAAAAAACGGGATTTGTCATCACCAAAATTCAATCAAAGCATGGCAAAAATTTTCACGTGACTTGTTGCAACATACCAGCTCACCGACGATTGGAAGGAAGAGAGTGGCCGTGGCAGAGTTACTCGTCACATTGGTCGCTAAAGCCACCATGATCGAGAGAAGAAGCGCTGCCGTATACGTTGATAGGCTCTTCATTACAATAGCCAACTGGTCACTAACCCACTCTGACAAGCCAGAAGACTGCAAATAATTTAGGTATATTGATAATGTAAGTGTAATTAGGTATACAAGGGTTTAATTGACCTACTTTGGTACAGGGTCCTCAACCCTTTCAATTGGAATTTTAAATATAATAATTGGCAAAAATTGGAAATATTTTTCTTTAGTTTTACTTCTTAATAAAGAGTTAGATTGAAGGTGTACGTTCTTATTAAAGACAAATTGAACATACAGATGCAAGATAAAGTTTTAAGTGTAAATTGTCTTTTACCTCGCAGGCCGCGGCCACTGCGAACCCTCCGCCCATCAGTAATAGAACACCCCACGGAATCTTTTGATTCACCGTCTCCCAGTCCAACAGAGGCTGGAACTTCCATTTTTCCTCGTCAGAGATATCCTCAACAGTTGTGCCTTCCTCTTCATCTCTTCTCGTCTCTTTAAACAAAAAAACAGCCCTTATTTAACTATGAAAATAGTAAAATTCGTTAAAAACAAGAAACCCATGGGCCACATCGCTTACTTTTGCACTTAGGAAAACCAAAAATCATTTCAGTAAAAATTCACTTTGAAGGGAGGTAAATTTAAAACTATTAGAGGATACATTTAAGGAGAAGATTGAGAAGAGGATTTGTTTTACATAAACATTGTAAATTTCGTTTGAAAATTTAAAAAAAAATTGATCATACATTTTGCCCTTTCCCTAACCCAGGGGTCAGAATTTGAATAAATTCGAATCAACACTACATGAGGATGCTACCATGTCAATATGACTAAGCATAGATGTGGCCCCATCCTACCCCTTGGTCCCATAATTTGAAAAAGCTTGAATCTACATTATGTCGCGAAGCTTCTGTCGGTTAATTGGTTCTTTAGTTCTTGATATAAAAGGAAAAAAATGGAAAAATCAGATATACGATTGACACCTAAAGGACATACGATGGAGATAGACATTATTATTTTGAGCCTATGGTTCATGTGAGCTAGAAACTGAAGACATACGTTTTGCTCCCGTCAGAAGAAGAAAGGGATGTGTTATCGAAATATACATATATTACATTGATGCACGATTTGTGTTAAAATATTACCTTTTTTCATCCACGGAATATGGGATGGAAAAGCAAATAGGAAAGCTGCAACGAATACTGCAGGGATGCTATCCCCAGTGTACCTATTAAAAGTAAATTAGTTGTGAAGTTGAAATAGAACACAGGAGTTGAAGCTCACGTTTAATTTCTAGTTGCCATTAAAGTTACCCTGATTCAAAGAGCGCTCCCCATCCCGGTACGACCTGTGGCTGCCGCGTCATCCACAGCAAGGCTAGGACGATGAACACAACCAACACAACAATCTCCTGAAATCTGAGGTATTTATATCAATGTAGACAGCCACAAATGGATATTTGACGTTCATTGTAATAAAATCATTTCAGAAACTATTACTCGTTTATGTACAGATTTTACCAAGTTTATAAAAATGATAAATTATACTCACGTCATTGGCCCTAGTCTTTTGTAAGCTTTCCTTAAATATACCCTAACACTTTCATAGGAATCTGATTCATTTTTTATGCATCTGAAATGTGGAACTAATTGTAATCATCTGTAAAATGTATTACAAATTGTTTTAATTTGTAAAACGTGGTACTATCTGTAAAATATGGTTCAAATTGTTATATTCCACTAATTGTTATCATCTGTAAAATGTGGTTCTAATTGTTATCATCTGTAAAATGGATAATTTATTGTTATCATCTGTAAAATGGATAATTTATTGTTTTCATCTGTAAAATGTGGTTTCATTTGTTTTAATTTTTACCTTGTACCAGCATAGAAGACTTGCAGCCAGATCCATGATATGATCAGACAAATGAGAGACAGAGGGAAGCCCACGATCAACCAACTGGCGAAGGAGATGCCAGAGTCAGGTATGCCTCTTTTCTGATAGATGCTTATAGTAAAAGATAATAAACTTATTTCCACTTTTAATTTTTGAATTTAATAATATCATAATAAAAAACGATTTGGAAGGTGTTCAGATTTGAGATCAAAATGAAACCTTTAAGATGATGCAAACTTGTATCAAAAACCATGACTAAAAGGTTTATGTTTGTATCAAGTTAAATAAATAAGTGTACAGTCATAAATTTTTAATTCTTCATTCAGTTTCACAAGAATGCGATTTAAGAAGACATAAAGTCAGAATTCAGAGTAGTAAGGATAGTTACAGATAGGTAGACTATTGAACATCATATGAAGTTTACAATGTCTTAAAGTTTAGCATTCACATTACTTAAAACCAAGAAATACCAATTCATTAATATTCATCTATTTTTTGTTTGTTTGTATTGTCTGTATTTTAATGAATGATAACCAATTTCAACATATGGAGTGAAGAAGTTTTGACAAATAACCACTGTTCAATTTTTCAGATTGTTTCTTTTATACTACTAGTATTAATATAAAAGAAAGAATCTGAAAAATAAACTTAAAATATTTAAGTTCTTTTGTTTGTCTCTACTTTGCCAGACTTACTCGTCTGCTATAGTTTTGAGGATTATATTGGGCGGAGTCCCTGTCAGTGTTGCCATTCCTCCAGTATTGGCGGCAAAAGCTGTACAGAGGGCAAACGTCTTGGTGAGACGGATGAATTTGTCATTTGGTGAAAAGTTTGGAGCGCTAGATTCGAGATCTATATCCCTGCTGTCTCTAAAAATATAATCAAAACCTATATTAAGAACAGGGAGGATAATTCTTACATCCTCTGCTTAATGTTGTCTACTAAATCGTAATAGAAGGATTTCCTAGCTGCCTTATTCTGCAAATAAATTGTCTACATACTGACAATTTTTTTTTATGATTTGGTCTAAACAGCAACGACAAACTTAGTCATTTTCTTAAAGGACTGCTACTCAAATATACACAAGAAGGCTTATGTATTTAGTATTTTCCTTATACCCTGTGTGATTTACTCTATGTGTAATGCTTAATTTTATAGCAGAATTCACCTATAAATCTTTCCATGCGTGATTTCTAGTAGACGTTTTTTCCTTTCATATTCTGGTTGGGATATTGAGAGAAATAAATGAAATAAGGTTTAATTTGTCTGGTATCGATTTTTATAATCGCGTCAATTTACAAAAGAGCTTGCCTTTCTTTACCACAGTATACATGTATTTATTTACTGTCAAATGATGACTTTGTTAGCTTTTAAATAAGACAATATATACGTCGGCTTAAATTTAAATGATTTTATCAATAAAAAGCAACTTTGATATCATTTGAATTTTGTTCATTCTAAGAAATAGTTATTTTGATTTACGTAAAATCTTGACAATTTGAATGTCTTTATGTATTAAATCCAGATATTATGTATTGTCCTTGGTGGTACTTTATATTATATTTCCATTTTACTTACACATTCCTTTCCTTGTGTTGAATTATCTAAGGGGGGTCTACTGTATAACCCTTTCCCTTCTTCCCTGAGATTGACTGTATAACCTTTTCCCCTGGGATTTGATTGTATAACCCTTTTTCTGTGGTTGACTGTATAAACTTTTCCCTGAATTGTACTTTATAACCTTTCCCCCTGGGGTGTACTGTATAACCTTTTCCCTGAGGTTGACTTTATAACCTTTAATCACTAAGTTGACTTATAACCTGTGGATTACTGTTAATCTTTACTATAACCTTTTCCCTTGTGGATTTGTATAACCTTTCCCCCTGAGCTTTATAACCTTTTCCCCCTGTGGATTACTGTATAACCTTTTTCCCCCTCCCCTGTGGTTTACTCTATAACCTTTCCCCCTGATACTTACGCGTCCCTCTCCCGGGGCTTGATACTGACTTCCTCTCCCTCCAGAGTTTCTACATGTACAACGTCTCCATTCTCTATGCTTTTATTAACCCCCTGCTCTACAAGCTCAGTCTCCTCGGCGGGTTCTAAAATTTTAAAAAGATATTTTTAAGTCGTTCAAATTTAATCTCCACAATTACAATAATGCACAATGACAATACGTTATGAGCAGTCGAAAAATCAGTAAATAATTCACGGAATGGAATTTTTGCCAATTATCTTGTTTCCTGCATGTATAATGATTCGATTCATTTTTTGATGCTTGGAAATTTTTCATACTCAATTATTATTTTTAAAAAAACACAATAAAGCCAGCCATTTTTAGCTTTTCATTACAAGTACCATCTGTCATGGATTCCTTCATGACGTGGAGAATGGCGTTAAGGATGGGCACCATCATGGCGGTGGTTGCGGTGTTGCTCATCCACATAGAGAGAAACCAGCAAGGCAACATGATTCCCAACATAAGCCTGTATAGAAAGGGGATGCTTAATTTTAACCCCAAAAACCCGAACACATCAAAAACTTTTAAAACTTTCAAAAACATAAAATGATGAACTGTATCAGTTTCAAGCCTTGAAATTTAAGATACAATTTTATTAAAAAGATATTTGAATTCAGAAAAAGAACATGGTCGACTGATTCTAGTGAATGTATTTTTTTGTTTTTACGAATTTCAAAGTAACATCAATGTAGGTGATGGTTGTTGAACTGCTGGTTATAGCATTTGCACATTTCCTAAAAGTCGATTAGCAGATCGATATGCTGTAATAGTCCAATTATTTCAAACGTGAGATTCATTTGTTGGCAAACGCGACAGCCACAAATCCCACCGGCCAAGACAGCCCCTTTGTTGATAGCAGATTTATGGTGTCGTTTATTCCGAAAGGATTTTTAGTATTACGTCATAGCGTTTTGTTATCAAGAGTGCAATTTTCAACAGTCTATTACCTAAATGATTTTATGAAAGTTTTTTTTTTGTTTCAAAAAATCATGTTGAATTATGCTTTATTTCTTTATTCAGACAATTTGTGATTATATGCATATTATATGTAAATTTATAAATATGTCCGTTGTTATTTTAAATCAACCCATCTATATATTCTTTAGGAAAATTACTTCAATTTCTACATAGTTTAGCAATGTGGAACATGTCCACCAGACAAAAGTATTTGAGCCAAGTTTGATTCAAATAGGCCCATAAGACGAAAGTGTGAAAATGTTTATTCAAACAATGATGGTTTGTGATTCAGCTGATTTAAAAAAATCTTGGTTACCATCTTGGATTTGGACCGACGAGTGTCAGAGCGGTAAAGCGATTCTTTTGTGAAGATTCCATT